GATAGATAGATAGATAGATAGATAGATAGATAGATAGATAGATAGATAGATAGATGATAGATGGATAGATAGATAGATAGATAGATAGATAGATAGATAGATAGATAGATAAAATTTAAAAACAGCACTAGAAGTTTAGGATTACATAGAACTAAGGAATGAAGTTTCTTTATTTCTGTCATTAGCCTAATGACCAACAATGTATGCCAAGAGTGACACACTCCTTATCTGCTGAGGGACTGTGGTACAATTACTCAGCACCCTGCCTCAGCACCCTTCTCTGTAAAGAACAGGGATAACAGCATCTTCCTGGGTGCAAAGGGGCTGAAAGGATTGACCACAGGGACACAGGACAAATGTTAGCCCCATCCTCAGAGGAAGACCCCAGGAACTTGGGGGTGTCCCTTAAGAGGTGCTTCAAAGGAGGGAGAGCTGAGTTGCCTGCTTATCTCTAATAGAAGCAAAACACACTGGACTTCCCTAAAGAGTCTGGGTAAACTTCGAAAGTGTTACTCAGCTGCTTGCACAGGCTTCAAACAGAACCCAGCATTCCTCGGGTACTGGGGCTCACGTTATTTTAACACTTTGTATTTTCTTTTTAAGAGGTATATTACACGCATTACTGTCTTGTGATAAAATTGATAGGCTGTAGAACACTAGGCAAATACACATAGGGCCAGGAGAAAAAAAAAGTGTTTGTGATCCTGCCACCCTAGGTGGCATTTGCTGCTGTAACAATTGGAGTGGCATTTACTCTTCTGCACAAGTTCTTACCTATGGTGGCAGTGGGTGAACTGTGTGTTACACTGCGCCAGTGTCTCGGCAAGCTGCGTATCAACAATACCACCCCATAAGCTTGTGCTCATTCGTGCGACACTTCTTTAGACAATTATATCCTTAGTCCCTCGTCATGAAACAGATAGAGCATCTGACGCAAGAAGGTAAGAGCAGAGGCCCAGAACTGCAGGGTGGGACAAAGTAGAAGGCACTCAATCTTCTATCTCACAGCTGGAGAACTGAGTCACAGAGGAGGAAAACAGCAGCCTAGGTCACGCAGAGGTTCATAGAGGGGAGGGCACTAGATAGGCGGGCCTTTGGTCCTGTGCACACACAAGCACACATACACACACATACACGCCTCTTAACAGTGCCATGTTATATCTTACATACTCTGCTGTGCCTGTCTTATAGCCTAAAGCTTTTATATAGATAAATATGTAAGAATATATTTATATGGGTATGTAGTCTTCATACAGTTAGCTGCTATAAAATCAGTTTGTATACATGAATGCATTGTATCTACAGTACTATGTAATGTCATACACATGCTGGTGCATGTCTGCACACATGTGCTTGTATAAAATGGTGTCCTAATTCACAGTTTTTGTAAAGGCTATGCCTTGAAGTAAGATTCTTAGAAAACAGGTATTATGATGCAAGATGTGTTGTAGGTGTGGGCCACAGCATCAGGGAAAAAGCTCTGCCCCTATTGGCTGGGGGACAGCTGGCAGGGAACAGACTGTGACCAGCTGTCCCATCCACTTGCTTTCTTCCTTCAGGATTCGTGTGTGAGGTACTTGCCTCGGCTCTACCTGGATATCCACGTAAGAGAGTGCTGCCTGGTGGGGGGGGGGGGGGGGGGGCGGGGGGGGGGGCAGCGGGGGGGGGGGTGGGTGGGGGGGGGAAGAGTGGAGTGGGATGGGGTAGAGTGAAGCAGGGTGGGGTAGGGGCTATGAACCAGCTCTGCTACTGGCCGAGAGGGCAGCCAGGTTAAGAAGAGGTCTTAGGCTATGTCGGGGGGACTCCTGAGCTCAGTCTCTGGTCCCCTGGTTCTTCCTTCTCCTGAAGCTTTCTCTTGTCCCCACTCTCAGAATTATTGTGTGCTGGCCAAGCTGCGGGATTTTGTGGCCTCTCCTCAGTGCTGGAAAATGGCCGAAGTGGATGCTCTGAAGGACAAAGTGCGGAAGCTGTATACCATCATGAACTCCTTCTGCAGGCGGGTGTGTGAGGCACTCAAGAGTCCTTTTCTCCTATGGACATCGCAGGGAGGAGGGCTGAGAAGAGGGCTAGGAGGGAGTCTGGGGGAGGGACTTCCAGTCCCTGGGGGAGGGACTTCCAGTCCCAGCAGACTTTCTGCAACAGCTGTCACCCCTGTTAGGTGAGCAGGATTCAGAATGGGACCCCTCATCTCCCAAGGCCACAAATGGAGGCAGTGCAGGCGCCTGACTCTCTCCTAGGCCATTCCATAGACACCCGAGGCAGAGTAAAAGAGCCAGAGGGAGTCACAGGACCCTTCCTGAGGAGGGGAGTCTAGGTGGGGGTGAATGCCAGCGAGGAGCTGGTGTTGGGAAGGAAGGGAACAGAAAGCTAACACGTGGACCCACAAACCCAGCCAGCCTCAGATAGCTATGTCCCCATGTTCACCTTCCTTGACACTTCTTCACAACTGCTGAGTGAGGGACTTAGTGGCCATCTGGTGACATCAGGGTAAAGGTCCTAATAATTACACCCTTACAGTGTGACCACTCTGTGCTGTCTCTCCCTGAGATGCTTAGCAAGGTGACTAAATGTACAAATCTAAATTCCAAGTTCCTTTAAAAAATGCTAGTGTGTGTGTGTGAGAGAGAGAGAGACAGAGACAGAGACAGAGACAGAGAGACAAAGAGAGAGAGAGAGAGAGAGAGAGAGAGAGAGAGAGAGAGAGAGAGAATATGAACATGTGGTACATGTTCACAAGTGGATGCCAGAAGGAGACATCAAGTGTCTTGCTGGGAAACGTAAGCCCCAAATATCCTTCTACTCGGCTTCCCACAGTGTTGGTATTACATGTGCACAGACTGCGCAGCCTCTTACATGAGTGCTGAGATTTGAACTCAGATCATTGTGCTTGTGCAGGAAACGATTTTACCTTCTGAGCGACCTCCTCAGACTCTTGTGTGTATATGTGTCTGTGAGAGAGAGAGTGCGTGGGGAGAGTATGTGGGAGGCACATGTACGTATGCATGGAGGCACCTGCTTGGTTCAGAGTAAGGTGCTCCCCTCCAGAGTCTTTAGCTTGCTGACACTTCGTCCTATGCCAGTCCCTCTTAGTTCCTAAACTCCTTTGGTTTGTTGTGGGAAAGGAAGTTGGAATCAGCAGAGTTCCTTCTGGCATGGGCGTGCACTGGCTGGGGTAGCTGGAGGTGGAAGCTAGCGGTATTCTGCAATAGCTGCACCCATTCATTCTGCCAACCACTCAGCCATCTGTCCATCTGGTCAACCAAAGCCTGAACAAATACCAATGCAAATGTGAAGAAAGAAGTCACTAGCTCTCCTTGGGCACGGAGGTGTATTTCTACACATCAGCAATGCTCAGATCTTCTTGAAGGGTGACAGGAGCCCTAGTACTGCTCATGGTCCCCAGACACACCCACAGCAGCACACCTGCTCACTCCTGGCTTGTCTTTTCCAGGACTTGGTGTTCCTCTCAGATGACTGCAATGCTTTAGAATACCCGATCCCTGAGACCACGGATCCTCCAAGCTGGCAGAGCTAAGAAAGCAGGTGGAATGACCCAGAGGCCTGAAGCTGGGCCAGCTGCCCAAAGCAGATTCTCAGCACCCAACACCTCCTTTTAGTGCAGCCATTAGACCTGCCTCGTGTCTCTCTGCCTTCTGGAACACCAGTTAGGATTATATAGCCAAGCCTGCTTTGTGCACAGATTGGAAGTCAGCTTATAAGTGTCTCATGGGCATTAGAGACACAAACAGTAAAGTACACACTGACTTCTCTTTGAGGAGCAAGCAGCCTGAGAGCAGCAAAACCCCGAGTCTTTGTGGGTGCCTTAATGAAATCATGGGACTATTCTTTCTGGTTGCCGCTAAACCCAAAGAGGCTTCAGCTTTATGCTTCCTTCCCACACAAACTTTCCTTCCTTTCTCTCATTTTAAGGCATTTTTACTGCTTCTGCAATGTATTTACAAGGCTTTTATGTAGTGCGAAGGAACCACCCTTTCACTGAAGGGTTATGAAAACCAAATAAACCTTTACTACGAGAAGCAGGAGTGCTGTTGTGTTACCCCAAGGTGGACTCAGAGGGGTTCCCCCCCCACCTTTTTCTCAGAGCACCTGTTATTCCCATGATGCAACTGTTGGTTCCTTTCCATCAAGCCATGTCTGAAACAGTCACACTGGAGTTCCCAGTGGAAAGATGTTCAAGCAGTGTGTCCTCTGCATGGGTGAGCTCCTGACTTCCCATTCCCACTAATCACTTTGGGCTATGTCTTGGTGTTTCTGGGTAAGTCAGCAATGGACCGATGCACTGAGAGACCGGATAATTCCCCGGTGTGGTGAAGGCTGGGTAGCACACGAAGGCCTGAGCAGAATGGAAAGGAGTATGGGTAGCGAAGCAGCCGCTCTCGACAGCCTGCCAGCACTGGAGCTCCTGGCTTCGGCCTCGGCTCGAGTCTTCCACCACTACCTCTACCCACTCTAAGGCCTTTTGACTAAGCCTAGGACTCACATCAACCCCCTGTTTTCCAGGCCTAAAAGCACACTGTCAGCTCTTCTGAGTGTGTAGCTTGCAGATGTCTGATTGTGGGACTCCACAGACTAGTCTTCATTCACACAAATGCACACAAATGCACACAAATGCACACAAATGCACACAAATGCACACACACACACACACACACACACACACACACACATACACCATACCACATCATTGCCTTTGCTTCTCTAGAGAAGCCTTAAGGATACACTGAGCCTGGGTTTGCATCTCCATCACCAGGGCTGATGGTTTGCATCTCCATCACCAGGGCTGATGGTTTGCATCTCCATCACCAAGCTTGACTACTAATCAAGCTCACCTCTTGCCTGAATCCCTGCAGTTGCCTCCTAAGTGGGCCTCCAGCTCGAATCTCTTCCCCTTACAATCAACTCTCGCCTAGTGGCCAGAACAGTGTCTGTAAAGTATGAATTAATGGTCAAGATGGTTCAGCCAGTAAAGGTGCTTGCTGCTAAGCCTGATAACCCGAGTTCAAGAAACACCAACTCCTGGAAGTTGTCCTCTGACCTCCACACACGTACCATAGCATCCATATGCACACATGTGCACGCGCGCGCACACACACACACAAAATTTTTTTAATGTAACAAAAATTATAAGTAGTGATTAGATCATGCCTGTTCTCTATTGAAAACTCTGCAGCTTCCCATTTTGGCCTTCAAGCCCTCACTGCTCACTGGCATGGCTGTTCTGTATAAAGTGCCCCATGGCTTTTCAGTAGCAGGTGAGAAATCCATTGGTTGTTTGTATGTTATTTGTCCTCCCTGCAAGGTGGTGCGCTCTAGGAAGGAAGGGGCTATGGAGTCTCGTTTCATGGTTGCTTCCCCACCATCGAGCACCATGCCTGGAAGACCAGAAAGGTTAGAAACTAGGTTTGAAATGACTAATGCTTACTGTAAAATGGAGACAAGCCACTAGTTAAAGCCTTGAGATTTCCAGTCGGCCCCACCACTCCCTCTTCCTGGTACACATATTATTTGCACCATGAAGGGGGTAGTTCAGAGGTCTTCTTCGTGTATGTCCAGAAACTGTTCCTTATTGCTGATTTGGTCAACGTTGACATGATGTATACTCACGCATGCAATGTGCATGCACACATTGGGAAGGAATTCATCTCAGTGCTCTCTGCTCTTTCGTAAGACACGGCCGCACTGATCCCACCAGCAGCGGAGCCCTGAGCGGAGCCTGATCTTCCTTCCCAGGTACAGTCGAGAGTTTCATCATCAGCGCGGGCCTCCTTGTAGCACTCGGCTGAGCCTGACATGTAATTCACACCTGGGGGCAGCTAAACTCGGTGAGGATTATTAGACAGAAATCCCACAGCTTGAGTTAAGTCTGTAGAAAAATGCCGAGTGTGCGAAACCACAGGCCTGTTTGGAGAAATGGTTAGGTCTACAGAGTGTCAGATCAAGAGCTCCAGCAACAGAGAGAGGGACTATCCTGACATCCATCAGTTGTTAGAGGAGAAGGAAAAAATAGAAAAGCCGGGTCCAGGGATGAGGAAATGCCTGCATCAGCAGTAATAACTTAGATTGATTTTCCTCCATGATGACTTGGCCTGGGAATTATGGGGCATTGCAGACACAGTTCTAGAATGCTTATAGCTGAGCTCCTGAAAGGCATCCCTACTTATTTTTCAAGAATGTTCTGGCTGTGGAGCAAGGTCAAAGGAATGTTCTCTGGAGAAGTAGTGTTTTGGCTCGCTGATCTCTGATGCAGCTAGCTGTATATCCCCAACCCAGAGCAGGATAGTCTCAAGACAGATGACAGGGTCAGGTGGTGTCACTGTGACAGCGATGGAACCCTTCCCGATGGCCTGGGCAGCACAGATATGATGATGATGATGACGGTGGTGGTGATGATGATGATGAGTTTTGTCAACTTGACACAACCTGGAATCATCTGGAAGAGCGTCTCAATGACAGACTGTCAAAACCGGGTTGACCTATGGAGATAACTGTAGGAGAAATGATTGTCAGGGGCTGTCTTAATTCTTTTGATTGGTGTGGAGAGGCAGGCAAGCATTAGGTGACACCACACCCTGTCAGGTCCTAGATTATGTAAGAGTGGAGAAAGCTAGCTGAGCGCTACCAGGCAAGCGTTCATTTCTCTCTGCTCTTAGACATGATGTGACCAGCTCCCTCGAGCTCCTGCCTTGACTTCCCATAAGATTGGACCGCAGCCTGGAACTGTGAATCAAACAGACCCTTCCTCCCCTACGCTGCTTTTGGTCTGGGTGTTGAGCACAGCAACAGAGACGACACTAGGACTACAAAGGTCCAGATGTTTGGAGTCTTGCCACTCAGGCCCAGGAGGCACTGACGCTGCAGCTTACATCACTCATTCACGCGCAGGTCTGCTTGCGTTCCTGATGACCACACTTCCACGTGAAGGACGCCAGCTTAGCCAGGCTCCTATAAACTTTCAGATTTAGCTATGGTTTCTAGCGCCGGGATAACTGTCATGACCAAAGCAACTCAGGGAGGAAAGGGCTTATTTCATTTCACCTTCCACATCACAGTCCGTCATCAGAAGAGGTCGGGATCAAGAACTGATTCAAAAGCCATGGAGGAGTGCTGCCTACTGGCTTGCTCCTTATGGCCTGCTCATCATGCTTCCTTATAGCACCCAGGGCTACCTGTTCAGGGGTGGCACCACGCTTAGTAAGCTGGGTCCTCCCGCATCAATCATCAATCAAGAAAATGTCCTACAAACTTGCCTATGGGCAATCTGATAAAGACATCTTCTCAATTAAGAATTTCTCTTCCAAAATGAGTTTAGGTTGTGTAGAGTTGTCATAAAACTAACCAACACCACTGGTGTCTTAGTGTAAGGGTAAAAACAAAAAGCAAATAAAAAAAACATAAAACCACAGAGCTGGGCAGATCCTAGAGACATCCACAGAAATGAGCCAAAGTGCTGCAAGTGTCTTCAAGCAGGTCCAGAGGGAATGACAGAAGCTGCGTGAGTGTTTCCTGGATGCGGACTACGCATGAGGAGAACTGACGTCCCCTTCTACCTTATACCGTGCACCAAAGGAGACTGGAGATGGCGGTGAGCAAGCAATAGCTTCTGGTGCTTAGACTGCCAGCTGGAACGTCTTGGACCATCAGGATCGGCATACTGTTTACATGGCTTCGTTCTGTGCATAAAGAAGCTCCCAAGAAGGTGCCTGCTAATGAAAAACACTACTTATACTTGGTAAACATCAATAAGCACAGGGGCCAGTAAGATGACTCCACATGTAAGTACACAAGTCAGATGACCTGAGTTCAATCCCTGGAAGTCACATAAGAAGTAGAAGAAGGGAACTGACACCTGAAGGTTGTCCTCTGACCTCCACATGTAGGCTGTGGGAAGTGCTGTGCACACACATGCACACACACACACACATACATACATACACAGACACATACACACATGCATACACACAAATAATTAACTTATATAAATATTTTTAGACACAGTCTCTCTTTGTAGCCCTGACTGACCTGGAACTCATTATGTAGACAAAGCATTGAACTCACAGAGTTCTTACTGGGTGCTAGAATTAAAGGCCTGTTGTCAGAGGCTGCTTGTTTGTTCCCAGCCACTCAGACCCAAAATAATCACACAGAAACTATATTATTTATAATACTGTTTGGCCAATAGCTTAAGCATATTTTTAGCTAGCTCTTATATTTTAAACTAACCCATCTCCATTAATCTGTGCATCACCACAAGATCATGGCCTACTGGCAAAGTTTTGGCAGGCTCTGGTGGGGACATCTGTCTCTGCTGCAGCTACATGGCGTCTCCCTGACTCTGCCTACTCTCTCTATATATATCTCTGTTTGGATTTTCTGCTTGACTTTTCTCTGTTAAACCATTGGCCAAAAGCAGCTTTATTCATTAACCAATGAAAGTAACACATGTACAGAACTACTTCCCAAACTATTTCCCCTTTTCTGTTTAAGTAGAAGGGAAGGTTTCAACTTTAACATAATAAGATTACATATAACAAAAGTTATAAAGCAAAAATTACAGTTACAATATTTATATCTACTTTATCTTTTATCATAACTAAGGAAAACTATAACTATCTATTCTTTAACTCCATCAAAGACCCCAGAAAGATATAATATTACCTAAGTTAACAGGAAGTGCATTGTAAGCAACTTCCAAAACTCTAGAGCTGACAGAGACATCGCGCTGACTGGACAGTAACCCTCAGTTCTTATGTAATGTTGGAGCATCCATCTTCAGCCTGCAGGCCCATAGTATCTGGCAGACTTTTCCATGAAGCAGTAAATGTCAAAGACAGTTGCATCTATATTGGCAGTTTGTCAGTCACTTTCTTCTGTGTCCTGCAGAATGTCTAGCGGTTGGTGCTCAGAGGGTGAAGGAACTCTGTTGAGTCCTCCTTGCACATGAAGCTGACCCA